ACACGCCATACAACGTATAATCAAACACGTACACATAAATATCTACAGCAAGCGATTGATTACCTTTCCTGCATTTCTATAATTCTCCATTTTTGGCATTTGTTTGTTTAATAGACCGTGTTAATATATATATATATATATAATTTCTTCATAAATTACTATTACTTGAGATATAATATTTTTTGCTAGTTTATTTTACGAGCTTCTAAATATATACTTATGAACATTATTGTAAAATCGAGTCGACATTTAGAAATAAAGCAATGGCTAATAATATAAAACTAACGTGTTATCAAGTATAAAAATATCAAAACAATGTGGAAAAATATCAAAATGTTTCATATAATAGATGAAAAATATTACCGATTAAAGATTAAAGGTAAGATTAACATAAGGTTATTGCAATAAAGTACAAAGGACATTAACGTAGAGTACGTATTTCAAATTAATAATGAGCCATGGAGCAAAAATATTTATGCAGAAATAAATGTGAAAATGCACGCGTTTATCATATATATATATATATATAGCGCATGGACGAGGTTTAAACTTACTGATGAGTGGTGACGTTGAAAAAAAGATTTGAAAATTGGGGAGCCGAGTCCTCGGGTCCATGCGGTGCTGGGAAACTGGCGACTAACATCACTGGTTTTCGAGCGAAATTGTGCTTGCTCTGTCTGAGAAAGGCGACGCTATCATTGGCTATTAAATCCGGATAATAATCTTTATTGTATTCGAAGCCATGTTTTATCTTCTTGCCATTCATATTGACGCTGTAGTTGTAGTAACGCGAGTTCATTATTAGGCCGCCCCATTCGCGCCAGCCTGGCGGGATGTATGAACCATTGTACTTATTCAAGTACTTCCCAAAGTAACCTATAAAAAATATAAAGATAAAAATGTATATTGGAATTAATGTTTTGTGTAAAGTTACTTTCGAATTCTCGACTAAAGTAAAAATGGCTTGCAAACTTATCTATTTATTATAAGAAACTTATAGAATTGTCGATAAAGGAACATTCATATAACTTATATACTACTTTGCTCTCTTAGAATTACTAAATTAAATATAAATTAATGAAATATTTTTTGTAGCAATACAGAGTCAGGATTCAAATTGTTGTAGTGTACATTCAGCCCATTAATTCAAAGATAATTATCTCGAAGTAATTGCAATTCGTTAAAATTACCCTTAAAATTCTTTTAACAATTAATATTAACAATTAAAACAATGCAATATTTTTAACCAAATTATGTAGGTTTATTTCCTTATTTAATCAATGCAATTGCAAATGCCGAACTTTGAAACGATATAATTACAATATACTATTACATATTATATTCATTTATAAAAAAAAAAAAAAAAAAAAAAAAAAAAAAACATCTAATATAAAATAAAATTTATACAAAGTCTATCTTATTCGAAGGTTTCATGATATAGTGGCAGATAATTTAAACAATTTTATTAATTTGGAATTATAAAAATGATAAGGAAACGTGCTAATAATTGTTACAATATTAGAACCAATAGAATATATTTCAATGCTTTTATTGCATTGTATATAATTTTTAATTTTTCTTTTTTTATATAATATTGTATAAAATTGATATTTAAAATTATCATTAGTTTGATTCATCAAGTGTATACAGCACAATTTTCAAATAAACCGTTTGTTCAAATCAATATCGTAAAATAATCAAATCCTTTTTCATCTTTTTTTTTATTTTTTGTTTTTCTTTACTCTTAAATCAAACCTTGATAACTTGGTTAATATAAAGCAATAAACGTCGCTATTATTCCAATAAAAGTAATTAATTATATAATTAATGATATAGAACTGGTTTAACATGTTTATTGCTATATTTGGAATGTAGTAAGAAGCGAGGCAATAATGAAAAATTTTATGATATTTACCGTAATTTTTTTTTTTTATCTTTAACGTATCGACATAGAAAAAGTTTGAAGATCTGGGCAAAAAGACTACGTTGAAAAAAGATTATTGATAATACGTTTCTTCAATCGTTCGTAATTATGTTGTCGATTACGACGTAATCTTATATAAATATATTTATTATCATTTTCTGCAAATTATATTTAACCATATTATATTTGCTTTTCGTTTCCAAGTCGATTATTGTCACAATTATTGATCACCACTGAATTCAAGTACCGTATAATATAATCGCGTACATATTCACACAATGTACAAACCATGATCGTAATTATTACTAAATATTATTAAATTAACTAATATCGAATAATTTATTAGAAACGCTCAAACAGTCAAAATACTAAAAACCTAAAATAATGTTATTAATTTCAAATCTCACGTAACATTGGAAATCGATGTTCGTAGTCTAATTATATACATTGATGATATGGCTTTAGTCAGAAGTTTGCGAACAATAGTAATTCGATAGTCGAAGAAGCAAAATTATACATAAAGTGACACGTTGATTTATTCGCGCCTCTCACTTCTGAATAAATCATCAATATTCATAATATACAAATTAATATAAATTTATCAAACGACAACCATAATTTCTAATGATATTTCTTAAAATTTCAACAATAACTATGTAATTCATTCCATTTCAAGCAAATATTTTCAATTTCCAATTTATCATATCGTATGCTCGCCTTAGGTATCTCATAATATCTTAAAGTTTATTACTATTCGATAGAATCGAATGAAATATAATGTCACTCGGAAAGTTGATCGATAAACAAATCCATTGTGAAATTTGCCTCTTATCTAATCCCAACGATATACTTTGAGAAGAGTCACAAAGTCCAATTACTGAAATCGCCTAATTAATTAATCAACGAGCAGATGGTGCATTAACGCTTGAAAATGATTAACTTGATATAACCATGATTCACATTTAACTCTTACGCGCGACGAATACGGGAAGGGAAATGAATTTTATTGCTCACCCGAGAATAATCCCATCACAAAGCCGGAGTGCGCCGTCGGTATGTGCATATGTTGTGCGCGGCGTGCGCATACGTTCCGCATTAAAGCGATAAGAATTAAATTGATATTTACGAGGCAAGCGACTGCAGTCGGATCTGGAAACTATTTTAGGCTGTGCATTAGGCGCGGAGCCGTGCCAGTCGACTGCTTCCTCCTAGGCGACACGGCATCGCGATTACGAATGCGACGACCGAAAATTATCATCTCTTATATTATTCTCTGCTAATAATTATTTCAGCTGCCCTTACTTTTACATTCTTACCTCCTCAACTTTCCCTCAATAATATTAGTACTCGATAATTTAACTTCCTTTCCAATCCAGGCATTTTTTATTGTATTATTACATGCCAAACTAAATTCTTACGTTCCACCATTGCCTTCGACATTATGGACTTTTAAAAGAAATTTCATCTTACTCGCATACCTGCTAAGCTAAGTTACTCTACAATGCATAAGGAAATGAAAAAAAGAGGAAAAAATATACGTATGTTAGATGTTATATATACGTGCGTGTCTGCATGCGTGCGTGTATTTTCAGAAACTATGGGAAACTATAAATTTTATTAAAAAATTGTTTTATAAAATTAAGTCTTATGCCAAGTAGGGTTTAGACAAAATTTTCTTACAAAATACGAACAATGATTAAAAATTAAACATTTTGTAATAAATAATATATTTCTTTAACAATAGATAAAATATTTCCTTTGGACGTTACAAATTTTCAATTTATTATTTTTTCAAAATTTTTTAACTTCAAATATTTAAAAATTTTTTTAATTTATAATATTATATGAATGAATTGCCATGATAAATCTATTTCAGCGTAATCCAACAAAATCTTATATTTTCCGCTTCAAAAAATATCCTTCGATTTGTCCTTCCATTCAAATGAATATTATTTAATTTTTTAAATTTAATTTAATTTAATAATCAAATTTTATTCTCTCTCTCTCTCTCTCTCTCTCTCTCTCTCTTAATTTTTCGTTATTTCGCCTTTTAATACTAAACTTACATCTTCTATTTCAATTTTAATAGAGAGTAATTACCTATAGACCATAGAATTCTTTTATGTAAGTTTTTCTGTCTATATAGATATGGTTATATCGATTTATTTTTTGACAGATCAGTAACAAACCTAGATTTTATCTTATATAATGTATCCAATGTAATTAAAATACCTATTGCCAATAGTATTTGGAAACAATTAAAATCTAAAGTGTCTTTATAGCAGTCAATTAGTAATCTCTGTTAACATTAGACATTGAATATGATAGTTAATATTAATGTTTTGTTAAAATAGGTAATTCGATAATTGTTAGTTGTAATATAAAATAATTAAATAAAAAATAAACAATATTTTCTGTAAATAAAGAAATTGTAATGAATTGTAATGGTATTATGATAAAGATATTTTAACACACTTACGTAGAAGTTCGTATGTTCAATTACAATGATTGTAAGAATAAATAAAACGATACGTTATAAATAAAAACCATACACTGGTCGATTCAACTGCTTCTGTTATGAGTGAGCGGAGATCATCAACGTTCTCAAAAAATTTTATTTTTTTTTTTTTTATCATTAAATTAAAAAGGTTTTTTTTTCTATTGCGTACTTCGTAAGTAGTTTAATTACTTAAATTTATGCATTAAAAATATATAGCTTACCTATAAATTCTTTTGTAAATTTGCAAAAATTTACACTGAAATAAAATTAAAAATTGTAACTATAAAAATTGATTTCAACAATTCTAAAGTTATGCCAAAAATTCTTATTACAACGAACAGTATGGTTAATCGATTTGCAGATTTGTTGAATAAAAATTCTAAAACAACCTATTGAATGATAAATATTGTACAATCATTGTGGCATAGGATCCTAATATTTGCCGGTCATTGCTAAAATACAGAAAAATTGTTGCCAATATATGATAAATATTCTTCCTACATATATTGTCTTCTGATATACTAAATAAAAGCTTCCTTTTGTGTATGTAACTGTGGATGAAAATTTAATTTATTCTAATAACTCGTAATACAGTTACATACAAATTAATTATTACCAACTATGCAAATTAATGGAATTAGTGACAATTAATTAAATTAATGAAAAATAGTTGTAGAAATGAAAAGGTGTATAGTTGTAAGTTCAATTGGTATTCTTAGGGAACATTCCTTAAGTGATTATCACGCACTATGACAAATACTTGTAATTTAATTATAGAAAAGTCTGAAAATTTGAAGATTAGCGGATAGCTTAAAAATATATGACATTTCTAGGTGAAATTCAACTCAACGTGGAATTTTTCTCAAATTTAAAGAAGAATAGTAATTCTTTCGAAATTAATTGAATTAATAGAATAGAAATTTTTTTTTTTTATAAATACTTAAATGTAAACAATTAACATGTGGCAATGCTACCGCTATATTACATCAACATCTACACACATCTACACAAAATTAATTGTAACCGAAATAATTTTTAAACAACTATTTATCAATAATATAATATAATAAAATAAAAATACATCATTAAAATGGTTTTATGGGACAATGAAATTTAAAATAATGTGAAGAAAAAAAAAAGAATAAATATAATCTAAAATTTTGAACATTACTTTACATTAACTATTTTTATATTAACATTTTACAATTTTCTATAACATCAATGTAAAAATTCATATTTTTAAATATGAACGTATACAAGAGAAAAGTAACGTTCTTGTATAGATTTAAAATCCAAAAAAGACTTTGTATAGAGAGTTAATTTTATTTATAACTACACCCTGTTTATATTACAGTTTTTTTTTTTTAACAATGAACGAAGAGCAAAATCTAATAAAATATTTTAAATAATGTGATATTTCACAATTATATTATTAAAAGTAATATTCATTTATACGGAAGAATTAGGAATATCGGGTTAAACACTTAATCGTATTAACGCTGTATAATATAAATTTCAAAATATTGTAAAATGGAAATCTTATCGAGCTACCAAACAACTACTACACTCAGTACTTTTTTCAATACTCGCTGAAAAGCTAATCAAGTAATATTTCCTTCGATTCAGTTGAGCGCCAACATCCATAAATTTTAAACTACCTATTTAATGGACTGTCTACAGGCCAAAATACTAGTTTTACTAAAATAATTAAAACATGAATAATAATAGACGAAGTACAATCTATAGTTAGAAATTGTATAGTTACGCGTGATATTGAATATACATTGTAATGTCTATATTATACGTATAATTAATTGTATTATCGTTGTTACGTACAAAAATTAATTTGACATTAAAGTAAAAATTTAAAGCAATTGGTTAATAAAAGATTATTGAATAAGTAGCTCCAATAATTGACGTAGAAGATTATTTTTCTTAAATAAGTATGTTGTTTCTACAAATATCAATATTTATATTGGTTTTCATAACAACAAATGAAGCTATACATGTGACCAATTTCCAAGAAATTCCAATAAAAGAAAATCCTATGGAAAATTATAATATAAATTATTATAATAATAGCCAATTTGAAAAAAATTATGCAATTGCTGGTATCAATTTGATAATTAACATATATCCAATAATTATATTTTATTGTAATTTATAATTGTAACTATTTGTACTTTATCTAACAGATCACTCCCAGGCTTGGAAAAAATATTTTAATAAGGGTGTCCACGATAGTCACATAAAATATTGGGATTTTTTCTCCAACGTTGATCAAATTACATTGTGGCCAAATGGTATTGTACCTTACATAATGAGCGACAATCTAAGTGAGTTTATAATTAAATTTTTAACTTATCGAACTTTATACTTTTAAGAAGATATAATAGATTTAATATGATTTACTTTCTCGTTATTATTGTCGTGCATACTTTATTGTACATGAAAAAATTGTTCATTTTTGTACAAAAATAACTTTTAATAATTATGATAAAGCTTTTAATTAGAGGACTAATATAATATCTTCTTAATTTTTTATGATTAATTTTTTTGCTTTTATAAATTTTTAATAATTTTTTGCGATGTTACGACCTAATAATAGTCAATAATACCTAATAATTCCTCATTACACTAGGTATGATTTTTATGTAAAATTTATTTATGATCGACATTATAAACTTTAAAGAAAATACATAATTACAAAATTAAGGAATAATTAATTATGAATATGAAATTTAGTCTTTTCCTTAATTGTAAAATAAAATCTTTTCACCTTTAAATACAGAATGTCAAATGTAATCAAATAAAATCTTAAAATTTACAAAAATATTATACTACGTAATATTTAAAGAATTGCAAAGGAATAACATGGATAATTAAATTGTTAAATATAAATTAAATAAATACAAGAGAACTGCTTTTTATTATAATCTGTGTCTGTAAATTACCATTAAAACTTATGTTAATTTGGAGGATTAAAAAAATTCGATATTTTATTAGTGATCGAGCAGCAGTCGAGGCTCGATCAATATTAATATTATCATAAATATATAAAAATATATAAAACTGTCCAAATCATGATACATGCTTAATTTTTCCTTAATATATTACTGAAGATATATCTTTGATCTACCATTATATTATTATATACTTGGAAGAAGGTAAAAATGATTTAAATTCACTATTATGCCGAAAAGAAATTACAATTAAGGCTGAAACTGGTACGCTCTTTCGTTCATGGATTATTGAAAAAAAAAACTATGTTGAATAACTATTAATAACATGAAATTACATTGTAATAATAATTATTAATTAATTACATTAATAACATTAACTAATTATATGAATCGTCTTGGTAGTAATAATGAATTATACATTAATAATGATTAATAATGTGTAAATATTATTGTGAATTACATTTCAAATCAATTAATCGTGCATTATACATCTCAGATCAAGTCCTAGCGACTTTTTTTTTTAATTTCTAGAATCAAGTCTAACTAGTAAGCCAAGAATTATAATAAAATATTATATGACAGTATCAATAGTTATCTATTTTATAGAACAAAATGAAAAAGAATTTTGTTCAGTAACTTTGAATAAAAAATCATGTAAATTTCCGAATATGAAACTCAAATAAATAAGATGGCTAATATGATCTTGTAATTAAGTTCTCAAATTTTCAAATTATTCTTATTATCGTGCATTAATGTAAGTTAGAATATTCTATTTATCAACAAAGTTCAAATAATTAATGATAATTTCCATATAGAAAATTGAAAGTAGTTTTGAAAAGCTCTATTTGGAAAAATACAATTATGAAAAGGATTTTATATTAACATATATTAAAATGCATTTCGAGCTCTTAAGAGATTGAAATAAATGATAATACAGTGCTTATGGTGTGTAAGCTTTTTTGTAAATTAATATTCATAATGTAAATATGCATTTATATCGGCATAGTATCATCCCGAGAAATTTTGAAATAAACTATAATTATATATTGATATATTTTTATATTATTAAAACGTTTCACATACAAAATTTGAGACAGTGATACTCATTGTCATTTTAAGGTACAAGAGAGAAAAAACTAATATACGATGCTATAAACGAATTTCATACAAAAACATGTATAATATTCCGAGAGAGACAACAGAACGATCAGGATTACGTTGAATTTAAAAAGAGTAATTCAGGATGCTCGACTTACATTGGTAGAGTTATGGGTAGAAATTTATTAGATTTGGATTCAGCGTGCATAATGAGACGTACCGATTTACTTCATCAGCTCATGCACGTAATAGGCTTTTTCGACCAGCATAGCGCCAGAAATCGAGATAATTGGATTACAATCATGTGGGATAATATCCAACCGGATAAAACAAAGTTATTCGAGATCCCTAAAAGTAGTGTGATCGAATCCCCCTACGATTACGAAAGTATCATGCATTTAAATATGTACGATTTCACGAATAATCGAAAGGAGACCATAATTCCTAAGGTAGGTTAAAAGTTTACTTTTGTATTACTATTATTTATGTGCAAAATAATTAATAATCTTAAATTATTATAATTATTATAATTAAGTTATTAAAGACTTGATACATCCGTTATTTTCAATAATGGTAAAGTCTTTATGAAAATCTAAAATTACATATGTATCAGTAATAAAATGGTTATTAAAATTTCAAAAAATTTATAATTGAAAAACTTTATTGGTATTTCAATTGAAACGTTCGATAATGCTGAAAGTTTGAATAACATTTACTTATGAAGAAATAGATATTTTTAGGACAGTTAGTATTATATAGTTGATCAAAATTTTATCAAAGTTTTTTCTAATTAAGCATAAAATGTAAGTACTTTTAACTGTATTAATTATTATAGATTGACAGGTTGTGTGAATTTTTCGAGCTATTCTTACCAAATTCATTTAACTTAATATTTATATATTTTTTATAAGATATTATTTTAATTCCATATTGCTTTTGTTATTTACAAGAATAAATATTTTTTTAAATTTTCAGGTAGCCGATATGAATTACATTGGTCCAACGAGTCATGATTTTACAATTAACGATTTGAATAAGATAAACAAAATGTATAAGCTCGAGTGTAAATTGCAGGCAGAAAATACGAGAAAAATGAAAAATTACATTCTGAAAAAGGCGGATATGAAGTATATAAATGGATCGAATTTCAATCGGTTAAATAATCCACTTATTGTGAATAACAAGCACGATAAGTCACAAGCCATAAAAAATTACAAATATAATAGTCAAGAATCCTTCCAAAAAAATGAAAATAAAAGGATGTTTTTGTCAGAAAATCAGATGCAAAATAAAATCGAAAAACCTAGCGCGTTGGATACGGAGCCACAGATGATATGTGTTCTGTGGCCAGTTTCAATAGATGATATTAAAACATTAAAAGAGCAACGGAAGAGAAATGCGATTAGCTTAGATAATGAAAATAAATTACAAATACTTATTAATAATAATGAACAAATTCAGCAAAATTGTCCGGAATATAAACTATTGGAATGAAATGACCACGACAATAAGAGCTAATAAATCAATTATCTTCTATAATCAATCATATATTGGTATTTAATAAGCAGATTTAATAATCATCTTTAAGAACCGTAATATTGCACTAATTATATAAGAGATTAGATTCATTGTAAGGCTCATTGTGAGATTTTTCTTTAAAAAAAAAAAAAAAAAAAAAAAAAAAATAAATATATATATATATATATTTACGATAAGAATTTTTTCATACATCGAATAATACATATATTCAAAATTATATGAATTGTAAAAGTTTATAAATCGGAAATTATTCATAATACGGATTGTAAAATATTATTTGAAATTATTATTTCAATAAGCGTCATTAAAATAAAATCCCATACTTTCCGTTAAATTAAAAAGTGATTCTTACAAACTTTATTAATAATGTGAGTATTAAGAATATCAATGGATATTATCGAATATAAGTATTTCCAAATTTGTTATTTTATTACCGTTTTCTTTTCTCTTTATAAGTGTAAGCCCGTACAGAATAAGCATGACCTTGTTGCATATATTTAAACGAAGATGGCCCATAATACACAATCATTGTATAAAAAATTGTTCAAGGCAGTAAAATTATAATATAATTGTTTAATCGTAGTAAGCTCACCGGTCCTATATCCAGCGTTGCTCAGGTATGTTGCAAAAGTATGGGGCTCGTGATCCCTCTGCCACTGAGGACTACTGCAATTATCATTATTGGTAAAGACTTCGTGATTGTGCATGTAACGTCCCGTTAATAGGGAACTTCTGCTTGGACAGCACATAGGAGTTGTTACGTACGCATGCCGGAGTTCGGCACCCTCGTCTCGGATTCGTTTCAATGTACGTGGCATGAAGTTCAGCGAGCCTATTATACAAATATATACATGTATAAAAAATAGAATTTTTATTGAACAACTAGGAAGCTGCGATGAATCGTAAGTATGGACAATTCTTATTGCCGCATTCAGCGCAATCTCTTTTATGGGAACTGACGATCCATTGTAGTTTACGATTTTTATTCGGAAAATTACGTGGTACATCTCTTTTGTTGTTATACATTGTTAATAGCAATGGCTTATAATAATGACGTAGGTACACATTCATAAAGAGATATATTATATTATATACTTCGTAATGAATATGAATTTCCATTGAATTCTATCATAATTTTTTACTGTTTTAAGCTTATTCTCATAGAAATATTATAGATTTAGACACAAAACAACAAACGATTAAATGTAACTTTCGTCAAGAAATCTTTAAAGTAGATCATTTACGTAGGACATATATAAATAAAATTAATTATTGACTTCGAAATTACTAATTAACATATTTATTAATCGTTGTTGATGTTTTTATTTCAATATATGAAAACTACGAATTTTTTGTACTATTTGGCGTCAATTTTTACCTAAAGTATTTCATTATTTTGATTACTTTTATAAATAATTTTACATTGAATTTTAATCTTAGGTTAATATAAAAACATTTTTCTTGTTTTTTTTTTTTTTTTTTGTTTTATTATGAGCTGTGCCCCTTATCGCATATAAATAGGGTTGATATAAGAAAACATCTGGTCGTTGCGGTAAAGGTCGTCACCTTTCTAAAGATGTTTTTCTTCGCCAGGAGAAAAGAGAGAAGACGTTGCCCGAGGGTCGCCGACCAATAACTGTCAACAAAAACATCAGCCTTTCTCGATGGGAACGTAATGTAATACGATCCAAAATACTTGGAGTATGATCGTCTTTGAGATCTGGTCACTACCCCCCCCCCCCTTCCCATCACGTCTCGACACGCTAGTAAATAAAAAATTGTGTTTCTTATTTTCTGAAACCCTTCGGTCAGGGGGAAGCGAGGAAAGGACGAAAGCAGTATTGTACGGCGCCTTGAAAGAAGAGAGGCGTTGCCCCAATGTATTTTTCATTTTCCATTTCCAAAAATATGTACGGGGGAAATCCTCTGCGAATTCGCAGTGTTCACCGAATATTTTTCCTTCCTTCGATGTCCCAAAACATTCTTCTCGCTCACTATTACCGTTACCATTATACTTAATATTACGGTGACTATGACTAGCATAAGCAAAAAGTTGGAAATAATAATTTTTATTTACAACTTTTACATTACGTATCGAAGATTTTTAATTTCCCAAGGCCTGATACAGTACAACAGTGGCAACGTAAATTTCTTGAAAACATTATTATTTTCTAATATCTTCTTTTACTTCATCTCTTATATTTATTTTTATAAAGAGATATTTACATTGATCTCTTTATCAAAGAATGCACTAATTATTTCATTATATCTTATTTCTTATTAAGCTATTAACCTAAGGTATATCCTCTTCTTAATTATGTACCATTTCGTAATTATAATAATTTACCAGTAATATAGATTAAATTTAATATTTTATTTAGATTATTATTGAATTTTCGAAATATTTTAAAGTTTTTTTTTTTTAATATAGAAAACTAATTCATAAAGTAAAGAAATCGCATTAAATAAACGAATGACCTTGTAATGTATGTAATCGTTTGTTTTGTTTTTAAACGATGTTAATGTTATTATGTAATGATAATAATATACTCAGATCATCAAAAACTATTTTTACTAATTTTTAATTTATAAATTTAGTAGATTCGGAAAATTTATTACATTGTTTACTCAATAATTTAATCAATCGTTGTATTGAGTATTATACATTCATTACACTCATAACCCATATTAAATAGATGGTAAAAATTTTATAAAGATAGTTTAAATAATTTTAAGTGTCGTATCGGAATTTCATAAGTCTGTGATTTTTCAAAAATTGTCAACTCACCAAGCTCAACGTCCTGATCGTCGGTAAGTATAAGAACAATATTGGGTTTTCTTTCCCGAGGCAGATAAGATAAATATGGTACATTAGCTTGACTCGAAGTAGCCGATCCTTGTCCCTCATAATCAGAATGCTTATAAAATCCCCCACCTGAGATTTTTCGCTGACCCCCGAATACATCTTCCATCGGCAAATCACCGATTTCTGATCGCCGAGCACATCCCGACTGAAATTGCAATACCAATAGTAACGCCATGAATGGCAGCTCAATCATCCAGTAAGAACACATTTTGTTGTAGATATTTCGATTGAGTTACAATTGCAGTCTCATTAGCGGACTTCGTACTCTACTTGTTTCTAACTGCGATCTTGGATTGCCATAATAGTTGCCGGACTGTGAACAAAGAAGATACAATTCATCACTCGCGAAATTTTTAGCCATTTATATTTGTATAAATTTATAAATAATAATTAATATTGTTTGCATTATTGATAAACTTAGATGTCAAACATGAACAATTATAAACATAGGCTATTAAGAACATTTTTTTTTTCTTCATACACTCACTGCTACCAATTCCTTACATGTTTTATTCAATTTATATTTAATCAATAAGAATCGAATAATCTATTATATTTTATATTACAAATCCTTATAAATAAATGTACAAATAATTAATTTCACTCTTAAATAAATATGTAAGTAATAAAAATTTAAATTATCATTATCATATTTACTGAATTTTATTAATATCTTGTATTATTTAGAGAATATTTTGAAAATAGGCCTAATCGATTTTCTTAAAAGTTAATACTTATATTTTCAAATATTATATCAAATATCAAATATTATATCATATCAAAATATTGAATGAAATTTTTTTATATTTTTCCTACTCCTGCATGAATGAATGAAATTATATAAAAGTATATAAGAGAACCTTTTAAATATAGATTTTCAGCCTCACTCGCATACGCATTTTATGGCTTCAAACTTTGACTTTTAATATTTTCGTTAGGTCGTTGTATAATCAAATACAAGGCAGCTTTCCAGGAATAATGTTATTATAGTATTTTATAGCAATATACTATTAAGGATTTAAACGATTGCATGAGCTTGATTATACGGCAGTTAATTGTGCAAATTATAATTAATGTTTTTAAATCAATATTTATTTCATTACTAGTATGATTTAACTATATCACTGTAATAATTTTCAATAAATCCAAAACATATTCTAATGGTAGGTTAATTATCAAGTAAAGCTATTTATTAATTAAAAATCTCATATACTAATTAATAAGATAATTAATTTTGTTTAATTAAAATTAAACTTCATATATCTATGATTAATATGAAACATAAATTTGGGCTTTCATTTAAAATCGTAAAACGTATTGAGATATTTTCTTATCCCCTTGCTTGCATGCAAAGTAAATAAATGGGTCTTTATAACATTATATGCAGCCGTAACTAAAATTAAATAAATAATTTAAATAATCAATAGGTACACTAAAATCATATACTATATCTTTATAAAAGAAAATAATTAAATAAAAAAATATATATATTAATAATAATAATAATAATAATAATAATAATAATAATAATAATAATAATAATAATAATAAAAATAAAAAGAAAGAGAAACTACGCATAAGATTGTTCTCATTCATTATATTTTTAAAAAATTAAATAATTCATAATTAATTATTATCTGTATATAAGGTAACATTCTTTATTTTAACGTGAAATTTATAAATTTCATCTACATATAATAATATTAATAATTAATACTTTTTCTGCTTACAGTTTCTTATTAATCATTAACATGCTATGAAAGATGTGTGGTCTCTCACTAACTTGATGGAAATCTTTGTGATTGTAGAACTGTATTGGAATATAATATATTAAGCAAGATCATATATCATTGCAATTTGAAAGTAGTTATTATCCATCTTCAATAACTCGATTTCTAATTTATTACTAGGCGCTATCCATTAAGTCAATCTTATTTTCCATATTTTCACTTGATATATTTTCTAAACTCTACTTTAACAGACATATCTAATACAATTTTCTCAGTACCAGTAAAATTATTGATAAAGAAGTTTTTTTTATTTTTAATTATACTTGTAATATATTTTTCTATAAAAGTATAAACTTTTATTTATACTTCTCTATATTTAGATTTAAATTTTGCAAAATTACAAATAACTATGTCAATATATATATATATATATATATAAATTATTTATAAAAATGCATTGTATAATTTCGAAATGTAAAGTTACAGTTTATCAATTGTAAACGGACATTGCAACTGGCAATTTAACATCATTCACTGAAGTAAGAGTCTTCAAGTGTTAAAATTCTTTGGCAAGAAAAAGATCGAATGGTGAATAAGTGCAATGAAATAATGCACGACTGATCATGGAGTTAAACTAGAGCCTTTCCTATACATTTTCATCTAATCAGTCATGTCATCGTACAATCCAGACATTCAACAGCTTACCATAGTAATTATACTCGATTTTCAGTCTGATCGACTTCAAATTTATATCTCTATTCATGCTAAATATGGCTAATCCTTTTTTTTTCTACGTTCACGGATAGTTCAATCGATTAAGATCAAAGCACTTGGTATATTTCCTAACAATCCTTATTATATAGTTTTTCTATATTCATTGGTATGTTTTCCGTATCTTTGATTCACTTGCTTAAAGATTTAATATTTATAGAACTCATTGTACTGATTAAAGTGACTAAAATGTATTTAAAATACCATATTAATACTACATTTCACCTAATTAACGGTACTCTTTTTTTTTAAGAAAATATGCTTTTTTACAATTCTATATTTATATTTATATTAAAGAAAATTGCTTTTCGAAATGTGTTTTCATAATGGGTGAAAAATAATGTTATTATTTTTCAATAATTCAATAATTGTAAGATATAATAGTGCTGTTGTATAAATAAAATTTATTTATATTTGTTTGCTAATTCTTTATGAATACCTATGTAAGTAAGATCCATAAAATTTTATATCAGATCTATTTCATGCTTAACAATTAGTAATAATTAAAAAATATTCCTCTTTAAATCAATAAATCAATAATTCTTTTCATACGGTATTATTATTAGCTCATATTAACAAATGTAAAGATTTTTGTTTTAAAAAAGAGCTACATAAATTGAAACAATGGTAAACATTTCAATAACGTATTTTCAAATAATTTGCATTCGCAAAATAATGAAAATTTTCACGGATTGCATAAAAATCTTATTTTATTAATTAAATGTTATTAAATCTTATTTTATTTATTAAATATATATATATATATATATATATATTATATATATTTGTAAATAAATATATTATAAAATTATTATAATCTGAATTAACTCAATCATCATGATTTATGTAAACTTTTAGTATATAGAAATAAAAATACGTTATTACAATAGTTTAATGTATTAGATTCTTAGCTATTCTTAACTAATCCGGTAGGTTAAAAAAATTACCACAACAATTTCAATAAAATTATTTAAAAGAACAAAATTATGTACAAATAAAAATCCTATTTAATCATTAAATACTTTATTATATATTTTGTAAATGCTATTTCTCATAGAATAATATGAAAAAAAATTTCAGAAATAATAGAATTTTTATTATATTGTTAAAATACTTAATCGTTTAAATATTAGATGTTTGCGTGGAATTAACAATCATGAAAATATGTCAACTCTAGTATTCAATATTCTATACAATATAATATTATTTTAATACTATTTAAAAAATCGGAAATTTTTTTATCGTTTAATTGGAGTAATTATCATAATTTATTATTACGGTCAAAAATATTAATTTCGATTATAAAAATCATGCATTTAAATACATATTATATTTTGAATATTATAATGATATTAGTATGTAAAAGAAATTGCGTGTGCGTATGAAACGAGAAACAAAAATTGGGGATTAAAATATGGGAATTAAAATAAGTGAACTAAAAAAAGTTAACTAAGTACTAAACGGAAAGCTTCATTTAATAATACCTTATTGTTGTGTTTATTATTATCATTACGCATATTAAATTGATTAAATTTATTAAATTAGTGAGCGTATTGCCATTAATGAGGAATATCGCTAAAGCCCTTCATATTTATATATGTAATTTGTCTCTTTGTATCATTATTTTTAATTAAATTTATTATCCAATATCTAATGTGTGATCTAATCGTACGTAATTAAGCAAGTTGTACTTGCATTAATAATAAAATCTTAGATACAAGTACTAGAATTATAACATGTAATATTTACTCAATAGTTTTATTATAGATTTTTTAATGATATACCAGATAAAAATACCGTTTATGTTACTATAATATCATATAATATTTTTATTAGTATTATAATTTATTATCAACTTAAATTTAAAACTAATATAGTTATTACAGTGTAGGTATTTTTACTAATCTGATTTGTATAATTGAAGACAGTTTCGATGTAACGGTCCTATTGATAAATGATCTCTAAATAAATTTCTAACGAAGTTATTTTTTTAATGTTTCACGCTTACGATATTCAAGAAATTTCCAATTAACTCCAGAATTAAAGGACATCGCAATGTCAAGTTCTTAGGCAAATGAATATGAACACGTTTGAACAATGGAGCTCGGAAGATCTTTTTAAACTGCAACGTAAACCTAAGTAGCACACAAAGATGTCTCGGGTCAAAGCTGCGATTTGAATCTTCAATGACTATCTCACAATCACCATGCTAATAGCCTTTAGCCTTTAATCTTAATAACAAAAGCCCATGTTTAATCAAATATGTTGAATTCAATTTGCAGAAATTAATATTACGATATTTTCGCGATGATCATTACAAAAATTAGTCTTCGTCTTAAATAAAGTGAAATTTTACACTGTAATATTTGATAATTCTAATGTTAAATTACATTCGTATGATTGGGCTGGAGTTAGAATGTAATGCTAATCATCGCAAAAATCGACAGAAAAGCGAATATCGCTAATGTATATAAAAAGTTGAAATCAATTGTCATGAAAGTGCGAAAGTATATTACAATTATTTATTATTATTCTATTTAATTGGCTTTATAATATCTTCTGTACTGCGCTTACACTTATCATAAATACTCATCGAATATTATAAATATCATAAACATAAAATATATAGAAATCCTTGGTGTTCAAGATCAGTGCTTCGTAAATTTATGGTAATAAAAAATATCGAGTATAATTTATTATTTAAGAATAAAAAAATTAGACTATTATCAGTTTAGTCATGCTTATATTAAATAAAATAGAGTATTTATAAATGATCAAGTGTTAGAAATATATATAATTATATTTAATAAAT